TTGATTCCATTGGCATTCCCACGTGTGAACACCTGGGCTTTGGCTGTGCGCATCTTGTGCGGTGTGTAATTTGATGGTGTCCTGTGCTGCCCAGGTGAGCGGAGGTGCAACCAACACCAGCCATCGCAGAGTCCAGAAAGACCCCTCGGCAGGCTCAGTCCAGAGCAGTCTTCAGACTCTGGGTCAACTGAAAACGAGCAGCACCTTCCCCATGGTAATGGTATGGACAGAACACACCAGGACAGCTTGTATTTTCTTAATTCTCTGCCTCATAATGCTCTAAGTTAGAATCATTATTATAGGAAAGCCACATGTGTAAAACAGATTCTTCTTCCTGGGCACATTGTGACTTGGCCCTGGGGAGAGTGAGAAGGGTTGCTATAAAAGTACAGTCCTGAGCTATAAAGACAGTCCACGGTTTTTTGCCTACCAGGGCCTGGATAGGCCCCAAACTGTATTCAGTTTACCTAGGGGAGAACCGAGCCTGGCAAACTGATTTATACAGAGGGCTTTTATATTTTTCATTATGGGACATTAATGCAAATTAGTTTTTCATTAATGCAGAAACTGTAACTGCTAAACTGACTAAACAGTCAAATCCATGAAGGGATCTACACCTTTTCTTCCAGAATGACAACCTACTGAGGAACCAAGTTAAAAGTCCAGGATTAGACCGGGCACGGTGGTACACGCCTGTAATCCTAGCACTCTGGGAGGCCAAGGTGAGAGGATTACTTGAGCTCAGGAGTTCGAGACCAGCCTGAGCAAGAGTGAGACCCTGTCTCTACTATAAAATAGAAAGAAATTAGTCAACAACTAAAAATAGAAAAAATTAGCGCCTTTTTTAAAAGAAAATACTCAAATGTAAGAGGTCTGAGTTAAATAGGATTGTGAGGCCAGAGAATCTATCATCTCAACCATAAGGGCTGGTATGCACTTAGAAATAAAATGCTAGTGCTTTATAAAAAGAGAAGCATTAATAAGCGAAAGACAGACAAGGGACCAGGGCCAGGATACAAACTCAACAATGTCAACTGCCATCCTCAGTGAGGCCTCTTCCCATCAAGAGACCATGAGCCTCCTGGCACAGCTGAGCTAAAGGGCAGTACACACAAACAGCCATAAAACCTTTACGAACCCCTGCTCACACTTTCTCTTCCTCCTGCAAGGAATTTAAGGCAATTTGACAATGAAGAGCACCTCTAGGACTGAGGAAGGAGCCTTGGTGCCTGAATGGAGACTGTCACACAGCATGCATGAGAGTACATATCAGTTTTTAAATCCTGCCTACCTGGCCCATATTTTTACAGCATGAGGTGGGAGCACAGAAAATGCAATAGGCATTACTCCATCTCAGGTTGATGAAGCATTTGATTTTAAGGTTCAATTTAGACTTCTTTTTTTTTTTTGAATCTGGTGGCAATCTGCTACTAAAACCAGAATGTCGGCCCTGTGGCTCACATCTGTAATCCTAGCACTCTGGGAGGCTGAGGTAGGAGGATCGCTCAAGATCAGGAGTTCGAAACCAGCCAGAAGAGCAGACCTCACCTCTACTAAAAATAGAAAGAAATTAATTGGCAAACAAAAAATATATAGAAAAATTAGCCAGGCATTGGTGGAGCCTGAGTCCCAGCTACTTGGGAGGCTGAGCAGAAGGATTGCTTGAGCCCAGGAGTTTGAGGTTGCTGTGAGCTAGGCTGACACCACGGCACTCTAGCCCAGGCAACACAGTAAAACTCTGTCTCAAAAATAATTAATTAATTAATTTAAAAAATAAAAAGAAAATATCTGAGCGGATTAAATTTTTTTTTTTTTTTGAGACAGAGTCTCACTTTGTTGCCAAGGCTAGAGTGAGTGCTGTGGCGTCACCCTAGCTCACAGCAACCTCAATCTCCTGGGCTCAAGCAATCCTCCTGCCTCAGCCTCCCGAGTAGCTGAGACTACAGGCATGCGCCACCATGCGTGGCTAATTTTTCCTATGTATATTAGTTGGCCAATTAATTTCTTTCTATTTATAGTAGAGACAGGGTCTCGCTCTTGCTCAGGCTGGTTTCGAACTCCTGACCTCGAGCAATCCGCCCGCCTCAGCCTCCCAGAGTGCTAGGATTACAGGCGTGAGCCACAGCACCCGACCCGCAGATTAAAATTTTTAAGAGAAGGCTGGGCGCTGTGGCTCACGCCTGTAATCCTAGCACTCTGGGAGGCCGAGGCAGGCGGATTGCTCGAGGTCAGGAGTTCGAAACCAGCCTGAGCAAGAGCGAGACCCTGTCTCTACTATAAATAGAAAGAAATTAATTGGCCAACTAATATATTTACAAAACATTGGCCGGGCATGGTGGTGCATGCCTGTGGTCCCAGCTACTTGGGAGACTGAGGCAGGAGGATTGCTTGAGCCCAGAGTTTGAAGTTGCTGTGAGCTAGGCTGGCACCACGGCATCACTCTAGCCTGGCAACAAATGGAGACTCTGTCTCAAAAAAAATTTTTTTTTAAGAGAGGAAACAGGCCGGGCGCGGTGGCTCACGCCTGTAATCCTAGCTCTCTGGGAGGCCGAGGCGGGGGTTGCTCGAGGTCAGGAGTTCGAAACCAGCCTGAGCAAGAGCAAGACCCCGTCTTACTATAAATAGAAAGAAATTAATTGGGCCAACTAATATATATATACAAAAAAATTAGCCGGGCATGGTGGCGAATGCCTGTAGTCCCAGCTACTTGGGAGGCTTAGCAGGAGGTCCCTTAGCCCAGGGAGTTTGAGGTTGCTGTGAGCTAGACTGACGCCATGGCACTCACTCTAGCCTGGGCAATAAAGTGAGACTCTGTCTCAAAAAAAAATTTTTTTTTTAAAAAAAAAAGAGAGAAACAAACATGTACTTTCGCCAGCCATTCATATTGACTACAGCCAAATGAAAAGATACGTATGAGCATTGGTGACCATCCATTAAAAAATAATTTTTTCTATTTTTAGTTGTTTGACTAATTTCTTTCTATTTATAGTAGAGACAGGGTCTCACTCTTGCTCAGGCTGGTCTCGAACTCCTGAGCTCAAGTAATCCTCTCACCTTGGCCTCCCAGAGTGCTAGGATTACAGGCTTGTACCACCGTGCCCGGTCTAATCCTGGACTTTTAACTTGGTTCCTCAGTAGGTTGTCATTCTGGAAGAAAAGGTGTAGATCCCTTCATGGATTTGACTGTTTAGTCAGTTTAGCAGTTACAGTTTCTGCATTAATGAAAAACTAATTTGCATTAATGTCCCATTAATGAAAAATATAAAAGCCCTCTGTATAAATCAGTTTGCCAGGCTCGGTTCTCCCCTAGGTAAACTGAATACAGTTTGGGGCCTATCCAGGCCCTGGTAGGCAAAAAACCGTGGACTGGTCTTTATAGCTCAGGACTGCTACTTTTATAGCAACCCTTCTCACTCTCCCCAGGGCCAAGTCACAATGTGCCCAGGAAGAAGAATCTGTTTTACACATGTGGCTTTCCTATAATAATGATTCTAACTTAGAGCATTATGAGGCAGAGAATTAAGAAAATACAAGCTGTCCTGGTGTGTTCTGTCCATACCATTACCATGGGGAAGGTGCTGCTCGTTTTCAGTTGACCCAGAGTCCGAAGACTGCTCTGGACTGAGCCTGCCGAGGGGTCTTTCTGGACTCTGCGATGGCTGGTGTTGGTTGCACCTCCGCTCACCTGGGCAGCACAGGACACCATCAAATTACACACCGCACAAGATGCGCACAGCCAAAGCCCAGGTGTTCACACGTGGGAATGCCAATGGAATCAAGATGCTTCTTACCATAAAGTAAATAACTAGTTACTTCCCCACCTGGTCTCTGGGCTGCGTTTATATCTTACTCATCTTTACATTTCTACTCAGCTCAGAGCCTTGCCCAGGGTACAAACTGAACAGTGATGACTAAACAGCATGCAGGCTGCAGGCAAGCTGATGCAGTATCTCTGTGCTCACTGAACAAATGAAGGCCCAAAAGGTACCCATCTCCAGGAGGAGCACAACTTTGCAGTTAGTTAAATCTCAAGGCCAAGATAAAAAATTCACAGCTCCAAGAAGCTAAAGCACAGCTGATGGTCTAAACAGAAACCCTGCCTGCTCCTCCATGCATGCGCACTCATTAAGGCCTGGTGGGCCCTGGGAAAACGATGATCAACAAAACTGAGCACGTATTATAGAAAAGCAAGCTGTTATACACAAAAGAGGGAAGAGCAGGGTGCTAGCAGGGAAATGAGGGACACAACTCGGGCTCGGGGGGTGGCAGCAAGGGTCAGGTAGGATGAAACTTCTGACGTGAGTGAACCAGGCCAGGAGCGTGCCGCTCAGCCCAGCCTGCTCACCGGCCCAGAAGCACTCGTGCCTCGCTGCAGCCTCACCACTCCCCGTACCCTCTTCTGCCCATGGGCCAGCGTAGGCCTCATCTCCCTGTCAAATGCTGGACTTCTCTGGCCTTTGTTGGGTGCTCTCGTCTGAAATGTCCCTACTGCTTGGTATTTTCTTCAAGTAGGTAAAACCAGACATGGAACATGTTTAGGAGGAGACTGACATGCAGCCTGTTCCTAAGTCCAAACCACACAGGCCCTGGAGCCTGAAGCTTTATAGGAGCTTCTGACCCACTAACAACACTTCCTTTTAAAATAAATATATTATCCAAACCTCTCCAGAATCCTCCCATCAAAGGAGGGTGCTTATGTCTGTGGCAAATAAACACTAAGCAATGAATGTGCAAATCTGGGTGCAATCTATGTTCTGACAGTGGTTGACTATGTAATATTCCAAAGCATACTCGCTATCATTATACATGAGTTAAACGGGTCTCAGGAACCATATCTTAATTCCTTAGCTGAATTCCTAGTCATGCTCCGAACACAAAACAGGGTGCCCAGTGCAAGTATTCAAACAGTTTCTAGCTTCATCCACATTTTCCTTACTTAGGACCTAGATCCTCCTACGAGGAAATCTGGCTTTCATACTCACTATATATGGGGATCTGGTAAACTGTCATGGTTTCGTCCTGGTATTCCGGTGCTGAGTGGGGCCGCACAGCTACATGAAAACCATACAAAAGGAGAGTGAATGCATTTGTAAGACATATGAAATTTAGCTTCCAAGATCAAGTCATAAGCAACTGAACTGCTTCAGAATTCTGGTGGCAATCTGCTACTAAAACCAGAATGTCGGCCCGTGGCTCACATCTGTAATCCTAGCACTCTGGGAGGCTGAGGTAGGAGGATCGCTCAAGATCAGGAGTTCGAAACCAGCCTGAGCAAGAGCGACCTCGTCTCTACTAAAAGTAGAAAGAAATTAATTGGCAAACAAAAAATATATAGAAAAAATTAGCCAGGCATGGTGGTGGAGCCTGTAGTCCCAGCTACTTGGGAGGCTGAGGCAGAAGGATTGCTTGAGCCCAGGAGTCTGAGGCTCTGTGAGCTAGGGTGACACGATGGCACTCTAGCCCCAGCAACAGAGTGAGACTCTATCTCAAAAAATAATAATAATAACAATAATTTGAGAGGTCAAGGTATGTATGAGTAAGAAATAGCAGATAATGAGTCATAGTTAAAGACATACCCAGGTCTATTCCTTTCAATGGACCAGAAAATATTTTGATTGCTTCTATGTATTTTTCCTAAAGAAGAAAAAACAAAGAAATGAATAGTTATAGTTAAACAAATAGAGAACACAGCAAAGCATTCAAGTATATAAAAAGTATCAATAGGTATCAACAGAAAACAAACTTTAATAAGTATTATGTACCTCATTTATGCAAATATTTACTAAGTGTCTACTATATGTTAGATGCCAAGGATTTAGCAATGAAAAAGAGAGATTCCTTGCTCTCATGAACCCAGTGGAGGAGACAAAAATGAAACAAATGGTAATACAGACAAGTTTGTGGCAATTATGGTAAGTGCTCTGCAAGAAAAATGAAAAGTGCAGAAGGCTGGAATCCAACTTGTCTGGAGAGGCAGGGACAGCTCTGGAATAAATGAGCTTCTGGCTGAGCCCTAAATGTTCAGTAATGATACAGGCAGGGACGAGAAGAGGCAAAGGGAACTCGTGTATGGATGAAAGCCCTAAGGTGGGCATGGCTTCGGTGGGGGCAGTGGGTGAAAAAAGCTGAAGAGCTGGCCCTTGGGGCTGTAGCCTGGTGACAGGTACAGATGGAAGTATATATAGGGGCCAGGGCCTATAGGACTTGTAGGCCATATTACAGTGCTCAGATTGCATTGTAATGGGGAGCCCTTAAAGGATTTTAGGTTGGGAAGTGACACTACATTTCTGTCTTAAAGTGATCTCTCTGGCTGTGGTATGGGGAATCAATTACAGGGAGGCAGGAATGGATTTGGGAGGCCATTGGAGTACACAGGTGTGTAAGACAGAGATAATGAAGGTCTCAATGAGATTAGGACAAATGGATGGATTTCAGACATTATTTTGGAGATAGAGTTAATAGGTCTTAGTGACTGGTTGCCTTTCTTCTTAAGAACTGGAAAATGAACTGATACATTCAACAGTTTTAACAATGTGCAAACAATTTGTCTACAGTGTAATAAGCTGGTTTTGAAGGTAAGAAGATATCTGAAATTTAATACACGAGTAAAAACAAAAGCTAACATTTATTGCATACCTACTTGGATGCCAAACATCTAATAAAGTGACTTAGTGCTTTATATGTGTTATTTAATCTTTAATAACAACTCTAGAAATATTATAGCTATTTTATAGATAAATCTGAGGCTCAGAAAGGCAAATTAACTCATTCTAATTAGGCTTTGAACTCAAGTCTATTCAACTTGAAAGGTGAAATGTTTACTCCATTACCAGGTATCTCTGGATAGCAAAAGACTAATTTGCAAAAATGAAAATTCTTATTACTAACATTAAAAAAGCAAGGGTTGGTTTTGAAAGGTAAGTCAGGAGAGACTCACCAGTTGTGGAGGTCCAGAAAGTACACACTTTGGAAGCCCGGTTTCCTTTAAAGTAAGAATCATTCCTAAAAAGGATGAATAAAATGAGATCTCTCATCAACTTGACCTACAGTCACTCCTGGGAGGAGCACCCTGTACTTATCTAGCTATTTATGTGTCCTCCTTCCAGCTTCTAAACACTCATCAGGGAACATGTGCAGAGCAGAAGTGATGCTAGCCAGAGGTATAATGGATGCCAAATATTTCTCAAATGCCTCTAGAATGGGCTGAGCTGATACTAGGGTGAGGCAGTGAGGCACCTAGTGTGCAAAATTTTAAGAGGTACTCACTCTCAGGGTCATACAAATGAAAGGATGGCCTTAAATTTTGTACCCTAGGTGCCTCACCTGCCTCAGCCAAGTCTCAGTCCTGAGAACTGGGACTGGGACTGGTTCAACAATCCACTCCTGACTGTCGTGTTTCAGCGGTGCCTGTGGTTGGAAGGCTTGTGCCTGCAGCCGGCGAATGCATTGCTCTCTGATAAAGGCACGTAGGTAGTGGCCGCAACCTCTGGGCTAGGATGATACACACTCCCAGTGGAAGCAGGGGAGCTGAGCCGAACCATGGCCAGTACAGTGGTAGCACTTGGACTGACCATTGCTGCTGCAGGATTTGCAGGCTGTTATGTTTTGCAAGCCATAAAGCACATGGAGCCTCAAGTAAAACAAGTTTTTCAAAGTCTACCAAAATCTGCCTTCAGAGGTGGGTTTGAACCCAAAATGACAAAACAAGAAGCAGCATTAATACTAGGTATAAGCCCTACTGCCAATAAAGGAAAAATAAGAGATGTTCATCGACGAATTATGCTCTTAAATCACCCAGACAAAGGAGGATCTCCTTATATAGCAGCCAAAATCAATGAAGCTAAAGATTTACTAGAAGGTCAAGCTGAAAAATGAAGTAAATGTATGATGAATTTTAAGTTCATATTACTTTATGTATATGAATACCAACTTTTTATAATAAAATACCTCAGATCTACAAAAAACAAAACAATCCATTCCTTCCCATCCACATCACCAAGCTTACAGAATTTGGCTACAACACAATCGACCTTCCCAGTTGACAGACATGAATGATGGAGTAATCTGGATAGTTGGTACCTGTGTGTGGCTGCCAATGGCCCCCATGGTAAATTTACTGAAATCACCACTGCTACACCCTCCAGTTTTCTGCCATAAACCTCTGGCCCAGCAACCCAAGAAACCAAGTAGACAGTAACACTGAGCTGGCATAAAAGGAAATCCACCTCCGCTGGACTCGGAAGATGTGCAAAAAAATGGTGAAGCAGATTAAAATTCCAGACTACCCGCCAGCCTCTGACCCTGCAAAGAATATACTCACCACACAACCCCCCAACATTACACCAGTGCATTCGAGTCAGGAATATGTTGTCCAGGCGAGCGACCTTCAACCTAAGAAAAACATTTGAGCAGGATCAAATGGACTGACCAAGGACCACATCTTTTGCTATAAACACACACCTGCCTCTTGTCTCAGCTTTCAAGCCCACAATCATCTCCACCCCAAAAGCAAATGATTGACTCACTTGTGTTCCTGCATGAGTCGCTGGACACCTTCTCCACAGTTGAAGAGATACCTACAAGATAAACATTACTGAAAGACTCTATTCCGTAAAATCTCTGACATCGATTAGATGCTTTATTGTAGACTCTGGAAACAAATCAACATACATTAAAAGCCCATGTACTGCCTGGCCACATATCTGCTATTAGGACGGCAAGTTTTGAACCCTTCTTAGAAAAGGTTGGAGGGGAGGCCTCTGTGGGTTTGTGCTGGGTCAAGATAGGGCATTACCCCCATCAGCTCCTCACCAAATCTGTCTACCACATATGTCAACTAAGAGACCCCTGCCTTGGGGTGCACAGAGGGGGTATGGCTCAGAGTGTGCTAAAAGCCAGCCCAGGGCCCATGGATTGGGAAAAGGACCCTTAGATCCAAGTTTGAAGTTCTTCCGTGATCCCAGGAAGTCACATGGACGAAGGCATACAAGGACTCTAGGATTTCCCACCCACCAAAACACCAAGAACTGCTGCAATGGTGAAATCCCACACGTGTAAAGTAGGGGACACTTAAGCTCAGGGAGGAGCCGCGACGCTCTGGGGCGGGACAGCATGGAGGGCCCGGCAGGGCGGCGCGGAGCTCGGTAAGGGGACGCCATGGAGGCCCGGCCGGAGTCCCGGCGCGGCGCACTGACCGGTTGTACTCGGAGAAGACGTAGACCGCAGCGCCCGCGTCCCGGCCGCCGGCCGCCACCACCTGCAGGTACACAGTGTTCGGGCCCCCGGGGATCCTCGACGGGCCGCGCTTCTCCCGCGTGCGCAGGTGCCGCAGTGGGTCCTTAGGCGGCCGCTGACGGCGGGCGGGTCCCTGCGACATGGTGCGCCCAGCCACGGACCGCAGCAGCGAGCGAAGCGCCCACATGCGCTCGCTCGTCTCCACCTGGAGTGAGAAAGCAGCCGGTCACCTCAGTCCGTGTGCCCCAAGCACAACCCCTCCGTTCCGCATGGCGCATCCAGCCAATCAGCGTGCTGAGAACCCAGAGGCCCGCCTACGGGAGGCTGCTCATCCAATAGAGAGAAGTCTTGCCGCTCGGGACCTGTCAATTGGCAGCGACCATAGAGCGAAGGAATGCTAGAGCGCCACAATCAGCCACTCCCATTGTCCCTTTCTGGCTCTCCCTGTCTCAATTTTTTCCGGAAACTGCCCTTCCCCTGGGGCGGGACTTCCGGGACTACAGAGCCAGGAAAAGCAAGACTGGTTAAAGCTCTGGGGCTTGGAGTTTGGTGTTGCGCTAAGAGGTGTGATCGATGCCTCCACCCGTTGAGCAATGCCCTTAGGCAAAGTCAGCCCCTCAGAGCTTTGGCTCGATCTTGTTTAAACGTGAGGAATAAACTATGTTGGGCGTTAGCATGGAAGCGTTGGCTAATTTTATTTCTACTGTAATTCGTATGAAGACATGTTTCAAATGGTCATTTTAGTAGATTTTGGGAAAAAAGGAAGAATCTATTAATGTATAACTGGGTTAGGAGAACAAGCTCTGGAGCAAGAGCGACTTGGGTCATTTATTAGCTGAGTGATCTTGACCTCTCTGAGCCTCAGTTTCATTATCTGTAAAATGAGAGTGAAAACAATACCTACTTAAGAAAAATGTTATTGGCCTGAAGTGCCCTTGGTCACTGGAAGAAAAAAAAATAAATAAAGAATGATAAATCTATTTTTAAAAAGAAAATTTTTAGAATTAAATCACATATTGACATCGGTTTAAGTGGCACTGGCACAGAAGAGGCGCTCAAGTAACATTGGGTATCAGGCAGGTGAGGGGGGAAGAGGGGATGGGTAAATTCACACCTAAGGGGTGCCAGTGCGAACTATCTGGGGGAAGGGCACGCTTGTAGCTCTGACTGGGGCGATACAAAGGTGATTTATGTAACTAAAGCGTTTGTACCCCTGTAATACTCTGAAATTAAAATAAATAAATAAAATAGTAAAAAAAGAAAACAGTGGGGTGGAAAATTAAAGAGAAAATAAACTGTTTCAACCCACATAAAATATACACTGACTAGGGACATCACAGGGGTAGATGTCCCAATACTAGTCCTTTGAAAAGCAAAGAAAGACTTGTTACACCCTTATGTAGCTAATGAGGATTTCTCCCTGAGAGAGATACCAGTTCAAGCCACTAGAAATACAGAGAGGGAGCTCCCTTAAACGGGGGAGATAGTTTACCTGAGAGCTCCACTCAAATATGAAACAGCCTCTATGGAGGATTACCACCCACTCTGTAAAAACACGTTTTGTAATTGAAGTAACCCTCCCAGTGAGGGTCAGGCAAACTCTGTAGATCTGCTTTACACCTTTAGAGGGCTTACATACTGAAAAGGTTATGATACCACCATCCTCATAAGTATTTAAAATAAAATAAAATGATACTTTTTAAAAGCTGCTTTAAATAAAGTGTTGGTGCAATAAAAGACTAATTTTTCCCCATGGCCATTCTGATCCATATTTTTTGAAATATCAAATTATACACACACACGCAGACACACATACACAATGTCGTTCCTCTATTTCCTTGGTGCCCTGGGCACCTATCTATCTGTCAGGTAATCCCAAACTTCTCATACCTTAAAAATATAGGAAGACTTTGGTCTTTTGGTCACTTTTGGTCATCTACTTGTATAAAATTGTGAGAGCTGGATGAAGAAGCTAGGGAGGATTGGTGGTTATCAGGTTGTTTCTAGGGCTTGGTATGCTTTTCTGCACTGATACTGTAACTGTGGGACTAGCCCAAATTGGGCCTGCTCTGTTGATAACAAAATGTCAAGTTACCTTGTAAGTAATACAGCACCAAAAACTGCAAGTCATGTAGCCTAGGCATGAGCAATAGACAAAGCTTTGGCCATTAACCTGGAATCAACAATTCCTCCCCTCAGAACCAAAAAGACCAGGACATGATCTGAACCCGAATGCTGGAACTCTTTCAGAAGCAAAGGGTCCATTGGCCCAGAAGATCTAGGGCTAAAATCTGCCTCAACATACCTTACCACAAATAGTCAAATTTAAAGCCCTTGAATCAGACCCTACAAAGCCAACACTGCTAAATCCTTTCCCTTTCCTTCCGAGACTGTGATTGCCCCAGATCTCAAATTGGAGAGAAAGATTTGAGCCGGACTACTTTCCCCTTGCAGGCTAGCCTTGCAATAATGCCTTTCTTTCCTCAGTGCCATGGTATTGGCTTTTATGCACATTGGTCATCGAGCCCATTTGCTCCATAATGATACTCTGGGTCATATTTTTATTCCTGGTAATATGAAGACGAAGGACTTTCACAATCTGTTACATTGGAATATTGCAACAGAAGGTAGCTTGAAAAATGTCAAAAACGTTTTCTGTGTGTTTAAACATCCCCTACTTCGTTTGGAGAAGTAGGGCCTGCCTCAGGCCTATTGCTGGGAAGGGCACGGGGATGTCTTTTGTTATTTGTGCCATAGAAGATGGCTCAAGGGAATTGTGTGGGCGGAAGTCACAGAATCATCTTAGCCAAAGATGGGATGCATCTGAGCAGAAGTCATGAGGTTGTCTTAGCCAAAGATGGGATTGATCAGAACCTTTAAAAGCTCTGTACATCTGCTCACAGGCAGGACATTGGTACTTTGAGATGGGATTCTGCCAACCTCCTCTTTGCCAGCAAATTAATAAACTCTTCTTTTCTTCTCCTCAAACCACTTGTCCTCATTATTCTGATGTGGCCTCGGGGACAAGCATCAAACTTTCAGTAACAATATAAATTTCATGAGAACAGGGCTTTTTCTGGTTCTCTGTTGTATCATTAGCCCCAAGGACAGGGCCTGACTTATGGCAGACAATAAATACTAAAAAATTAGGAAGAAGCCAATAGCTTAAAAGGAGTTGTCCCTTCCAAATTGAGCAAGGCCCAAAATTCAGTCAAGATAACAACAAATGTGTCATCCAAAGGGGATTTTGTCTGACTGGTATCTCCAAAATGATAGATCAGAGAGTCAGAGACAGAAAGATATCTCCAGACTTGCTGGAATAGAGGGATCCTGACCATCAGGATGGCAGAGAAAGTGGAAACTGAGGCAACAGACTTTCAGAACACAATGATACCGCAATTAATATAATCCAACCACTTCCTCTTGCTTTGAGTCTCTTTTAGTTGTCCATTTTGTATATAAACGCCCCCCAAACCCAGTGGCTTGAAATCACTTTCAACCATTTTATTGCTCACAGTTTTGCATACTAGGGATGGCTTGTCTGTGCTCCTCCCAGTGGCTGCTAGAGTGGCTTCATGTGAGTGGAGTATCCTACCTGGCCTCACAGATCTGGGGCCGGAGGCCATTCCACATGTAGCTCTCCATATGCACAGACTGCCCTCATTCAGCAGTCAGGCTGAGCTTCTTTGTATGTGGCTAGCCTCTAAGAGGGTGAAGTGAAACTGCAGTGCTTCTGAAGGATTAGGCCCAGAAGTCAAAGCAAGACACAGACAGTGCCCACCCAGATCCAAAGGGAGGGAAAATATACTTGACCTCTTGAGGGAAGAAATATCAAAATCACACTGCAAAAGGGCACTTGGAATGGAAGAGTCCAGGCTTTCCTGGAACCCTCTGACTATTCCGTGAGGATGTGGCTATCAGGCAGAATAAGCTGATACAGGTATATTTTCATATATGTACAGTTACAAATGTATAATTTGGAACTTGACTTTCTGTTATACACACTTGTAAGTATGGTTATCATGAGGTAATACCCTCTCCCATGGCCATCTATTGGGTGTATTCATAAATTGACTTCCTGCACCTACAAAGCTGAGGCAGGTCCTGGGCTCACCCAGGCTCTGGTGATCTGACCAACAGACACCTACTTTAGGGCCCTGTCTGAGATACCCTCTGATCTTCCTCACACATTTATTCGTTCAATCAAAATATACATATTGAACTTCTATCAGGTTCTAGATACTGTCCTAAGACTTTGGTGTACAGATATGAATAAGACCAACAAGATCTTGACCTCAAAAAGCTCAGAAAGCTGATGTCTTAGGGGCTGGGATGGGGTCCCAAGGCACATAAAAAAATGTTATAAGGGAATTGGGACAGGGATGCTTTTGTTTTCATTGGATCTGAGGTATTGCAGGTTTAGACCCCTAGAAACCAGACAACTCTGAATCTGCTGGCCACAGTGCATCTGAAGATGTTTTAAGAGCAAAAATTATTTGGAAACAAATCATATAGTCTGCCAAGGACGAATTACATTGCCCTTAAGTCCCTGAGCAGGTTCTCAAACTGTTTACGTGTGACTAAAAACTTTTAAACTATTCAAGTGTGGATGGAAAAATCCAAACTCTGAAATATTTGAAAGAAGTTTATTCTGAGCCAAATTTGAGGACCATGACCCGGAGTCACTCCCAAGAAGCCTTGAGCAAGTGGACTCGCTGTGGCCGGGTCACAGTTTAGTTTTATACATTTCAGAGAGATAGGGGTTAGAGGTAAAGTCATAAATCAATACATGGGAGGCATACATTGGCTTGGCCCAAAAAGGTGGGACATCTCATAGTGGGGAGGGGGCTTACAGGTTATAGGTGGGTTTAAAGATTCTTTGGCTTGTAATTGGTTAAAGACATGCAGTTTTGTCTAAAGGCTTGGCATGTTTTAACAGAAGCAGCTGTCATCAGAGATAAGCCACCAGACATAGATTTGTTGTATAAATTGAGGACCTGCAGGTTTGCCTTGCATACCCTTAGGCCTGTTAATGGGTTACAAAGGATGTCTTCAAGAAGGGAGCCAGGCATGATGAGGCATATCTGACCTCCCTCCTTTCAGCAGACAATTTAGTTTTAGGATATTTCTTTGGCCACAAGGGGGTCCATTTAGTCAGCTGGTGGGGGTAAGCCTTAAAATTTTATTTTAGTTCACATAAGCAGAAACTTCTCAGTTTAGTCTAGCAGCTAGACTTTAGCAGAAATGTCACATTGTCCGCTCCTTTCATGCAGGGAGAAGCCCTCTGTGCACCCCTGGCGTACTGA